TCTATAGTTTACTCGCGGGCCCTGTGGAAGTGATATATGAGCCTCCGACCTTGAGCACCTCGACAGCCTGCTCAACCATTTCCTTCACAATGATCCCGGCTGGCTGAATATCCTTAACACTGGCCGAGACATCACCCATGAGGAATGGCATATCGACATCCTTGTCGTTCTCCATATCATCCGCCATGGGCACAACACCCTTGGAAGTAAGCGCGGTAATATCAGCAGGCCGCGATTCCCACTCCTTAATATAATCATTGGGCAGCATGCGCAAAGGCCGACCAGTGATAACAAGCGTGCGCTTAGTCTCGCCATACTGAGCCCCAACAACAGCCTCCTTATGCAAGCGACTAGCACCGCTTTCCTCGGAGGCCACAAACCGCGTGCCCACCCAAACACCCGCAGCACCAAACATCAACGACGCCGCCAGACTGCGGCCATCGTTGATACCACCGGCTGCAACGACAAGCGCCGGTTGGCCAGTCAACGTACTCTTATACTGCCGCGCAACATCCACAATGGCAGGTACGAGAACGGAGAACGGCACATCGCCGGTATGGCCGCCGCCCTCGCCGCCCTGCGCACAGACAATATCGACGCCCGCCTTGAACGCCTTGTGGGCATGTTTTGGCGCGCCGACCATATTCATTATCAGGATGCCGGCCTCGTGGAGCCGCTTGATGGTCTTCGCGGGTGGGATGCCGACGGCGGAGACGAAGAGCTTGGCGCCGTGCGAGATGGTCACCTCGATTAACTCGTCCAGCTGGCCATGTGTGTAGTCGTGATTTGTTGCGCGCGCTGAGCCTCCGACTTGCGGAAGGGCGAGATCCACGCCGAAGGGGAGTGAGGGGTCCCGGAGGAGTGACTTGAGCTCTGTGAGCATCTCTGATAGTTGAGCTGGTGTATAGCCTAGACCGCCGATTGTACCCAGGCCGCCGGCATTAGATACTGCTGCTGCTAGTGGAGCTCCAGATGCGCGGGCCATACCAGCTAGCAGCACTGGATGTTGGATCTTGAGGAGAGAGCATAGTGGGGTTTGGAGAGACATTGTTGTTGGATTGTCGGTGAAGATGATGTTAGGTTGTTAAAAGTAGAAGTGGATGGAACTAAGAGATGGGCGTATCTCGATGCTTTCTTAGATTTATGGAGAATGCATGAAACTTATACATGTTCGACGATCGACGTTCGACGTTGACAATGCGGGGAAGCCCTAAGCCTAAGCTATGTACGGACCGAGGCAGGTGACAGCCGATCTACATCATACAGACAACGTAGTACAAATTGTATAATATACAGTGCTTTATGAATTGCATATCTCGGTAAGTATACAGCCTTTTCCAGCATTACCGAGCATAGACGACTCCCGAGTAGGCTTAATGTGATCTATCGCTACATAGTTGGATATTATTGACCGATTTGTTTTCTCTTTGAGCCCAATTTGGGCTTTACTGGAACCTGAAGACGAAAGATAGGGAGTTAATGAGATTAATGAAATAACTACCAAATTTCATGGAGTCAATTCGATTGTTCCCATATAAAAACCAGTTTGACCAGTTGCCACGAGATCCCGAAGCGGGAATGTAATTGAACGCGCTAACTGACGCGTGGGCGCGTCAACCAAACCTCTTTGCATCACCACACCAACCATCCCCGAAACACAAGATCTCAGCATTATTCCGGCAAATATGGCACCGGATGCTGAGAATTACACTTTCTTGTGTCCTCCCAGGTAATACCTCTTAGTCCACTCTGCCTCCGTCGAGGCTGCTACGTACCGGGGACCTTTCGCTGACCATTGAATGCACTCTGTTTCGATAGCAAGGAGGAACAGGAACAGGAATTGGTTTACCGCACACCCTCCCATTACAATCCTCGCCTCACCTTCCACCTACCAGCCGGCGCAGGACGGCACTATCAGCAGCAATATGACGACATGTACTTTTTGCGACTCGCAAAATTGAAACCCACCGTCGAACAAGTCGCGACAAATGCGTGGGATGGCCTTACTGTAAGGGCACTTAGTCCTAGGAAATATTTCCTACTCTCAGCTACGGAATTTTCTGACACCTGCTTGCAAATTTAGATCGCTGGAGAGCAGGTGCGACGTGTCGATCGGGTCCTCGATGTCCGACAAGGCGAGCTGTGCTGGGTGGCCGGCACCGTATACATGCATTTGCCAATGAAGCCGAATATTTTGGAGGATCTCAGCAAAGAGGTTAGTCTTTTAGCCTTTCTACTGCTTCTTCTTCCACTGACAATCGATAGAACTTCACGTCTGCGCCCCCTCCCCGCCGCACCTACACCGATCCTTCCGATCCCTCTTTGACCGAAATTATGATGGAAGATGAGTCCGGTCGCTTACGGCTCACTGGAAACTTCTTGAAGTCCACACAGCTGGCGACAGGTGCCATTATTGCAGCTTTGGGAACTGAAAATGCGAATGGAGACTTCGAGGTTATTGATATCAAGCTGCCAGATTTGGCTCCGCAGCTTCAACGGTGGGGGGTCAATGCTCCACAAAATGGAGTCGAGATTGCTGGGAAGGAACACGGCAAAATCGCCTTCGTCAGTGGCCTGGGAATCACAGGAACATCAAGCGACACGCTTGCTTTGGAGCTATTGACAGATTATCTTCTGGGCTACACAGGATTCTCCGGAAACGACGAAAACAGTCCTTCGTTGGGTTCCTCTAAAATCTCCCGCTTGGTCATTGCAGGTAACTCACTTGGAGCCAGCGTAATTGGAGATGTGGCGTCAACAAACTCTGGCGACGCTGCAGCAAAGAAAGCCCAGCCGAAAAAGTATGGCTATGACGCCTCTGCATACAATGCCGCACCTATCACACAACTCGATGACTTCCTAGCGGAGATCTTGCCCAGCATTCCTGTCACACTCATGCCGGGCGAAAAGGATCCCGCGAACTTTTCCCTTCCTCAGCAGGGGATCCATCGTACTATGTTCCCTCAAGCAAGGGCATATTCCGCACCTCCTGTGAGAGGAGATGAAAAGCCCGAAGCGGGCTGGTTCGACAGTGTCACGAACCCCTGGGACGGCGACGTGGAAGGCTGGCGACTATGGGGATGCAGCGGTCAGAATGTTGACGATGTTCTGCGGTATATCAGTATTGAGGGCGGCGATAGCAGCCCAGACAAGGACACAGATTCCGATGCTCGGATGCGAATCATGGAAGCCATGCTTCGTTGGCGCTGCGGCGTGCCCACTGCACCGGATACAATTTGTATGTTTGAGCAACCCAATCTCACAATGAACCTTTTGCTAACAATACTCTCCAGGGTCATATCCATACCAATCTGATGATCCATATGTTATCGAGTCCTGTCCGCATATCTTTTTCGCTGGCAATCAGCCACAGTTCAAGACTGCCACGATTGAGGGTGACGTCCCTCTCCGCCTAGATGGCGACACTGAAATGATGGATACCGCTGATGGCTCTGGTGCATCCCGTGTTCGGCTGCTGGCGCTTCCCAAGTTCAGCGAAACTGGGGAGTTGATTCTGGTTGATACCGAGACGCTAGAGGTCGAGGTGGTCCGGTTTGGAGTTTTCAAGGGTCAGGAAGAACAAAAATGAACCGATAGAGATACCAATCAATCAAAGCTACTAATGAAATAACCACCTTGTCAAATAATACATGTATCGATATATTTGTATAACCTCATGGCTGCTCAGACAAGTCGTATACAACCCGCGTGGCTCCACGCGCCAAGACCCACAATCGGAAGAATCCATCCCACTAACTTCCTCTGCTTTATATCAATCAAGACCCTGATAGAGATCGAGTGAGCCTTTCTCCGCAAGAGTGCATACCAATTGAACAATTCTGAATCATCCACACTCAAAAGGATCATTTTCTGATCATCCACCCACAATGCTACTCAATGCCAACATCGGTACGCTGTTCTATGCCCATACCCACATATATACTTTCCCCCAGAAATCTCGCAGATCGAGACTATAATAAAACAGAAGAACCTGATTTCCACTTCTGAGGAATAGCCCTCTGCTCCTCAAAGGCCCTTTTAGTCCCGTACTCATCATGGCACGTACCCCGATACCACGAATGGATGAAAGATCCGGTAAGCAAAGAAGACCAATAAGATCCTAGTTATAACCGACCGCTTTTCTCACAGATCCTAAGGAAATCCAAGAAGCAACAGCCTCAGAACCCCTAACTCTAGAAGAAGAATACTCGATGCAACGCAGCTGGCGCCAAGACGCCGACAAATTAACCTTCATCGTCTGCCGGGCAATGACGACAGGCACCGAAGACGGCTTCCCTACCCAGACAGAGCTGCAAACAGAAAGTGACTCACCGGCTACTATGGTCGGCGACATCAACCTTTTTCTGCGCATCGACGACGGCGAGGAAGGCGACAGCCCGCCACAGATAGTCGGCGAGGTGGAGCTTATGATCGCTGAGAAAATCAACCAGCGACGCGGGTTTGGGCGTGCTGCGATACTCATGTTTATGCGGTATATTGTTCAGAATCAGGGGGCTATTCTAGAGGAGTTTGTTAGTGGTGGTGATGTTGATGTTGAGACTGTGCGGAAGTTGCGGACTGGTGTTGAGACGGCGGGGTCATCAGAGGGGTTGACATTTGAGTGTCTCAGTGTTAAGATTGGACAGGCGAATTTGAGGAGTTTGGCTTTGTTTGAGGGGCTTGGGTTTGAGAGGGTTTCTGCTGAGCCAAATTTCTTTGGGGAGTTTGAGTTGCGCAAGACGGATTTGAGTCTAGGTGGTGTTGATGCAGCACTTGAGGGGGCGAAGGTGCTAGGTTTTATTGCTTTGCCTTATGTGAGAACAGAATAGAGTTGATTTCTCAATGGTTTATGATGGTTTCTGGTTATTTAGAGTCGTAGTGATCAAATGAACAACATACATAGCATTCATTCCATCATACTCGAATAACACTAGAAAAAAGTATCCAAAGTGACATCCCTCCAAAACACCCTCTAACTGATATCTCCTTATAACCCTCGATCAGACATACAAAGCCGGTCCCGGGATAGGATACGAAGTCAGCGTAGAATAAATATCGAACAAGATCCCGGGATCAGTATTAGTATACAGCTCCTCACCAAGCGTGCCATCAGGCACATCACTTCCGCCACCAGTAACCTCCAAATTGAAGCACTGGGGATAGTTTTGAGCGCCATTTGACTGGCCAGCAGAGTGCAGAGCGATGATCTCATGGCGCATGACATAGTTACCCGGAGCAATAGTAGAGGGAATCTTCACAGTCCACTGGCCCCCAGCAGCAATAAGATCATCAGTAGCCCATGTGCCTGGAGGAGTTGTGCCATCGATAAGACCGTCTTCTTCAATCTTGAAGAATTCCAGCGTGGTCTTGTCGACTGTGCTGCAGTCACCGTTACACCAGGCGAGGTATGTGACCAGAGGACCATGGTGCGAGTCTGGCCAGGTCGTCCATTGGATGTCAATGCTGGAGCCAGCGGTGACAGTGGCACTCAAGGCTGCGTTGACTCCGTCTCGGTGGCAGATTATGTTCGGATCTTGGTATTCGGTGCCGTCTTCGAAACCGAGGTCGGTTGCCGTTGTTGCCCAACCGACGCTGTCCGGGGGTTCTGCCATGTAGGCGTATTTGTCAACTATGTAGCCAGTGTAGCTGATGATGTGATTAGTTATTGGTATGGAGACTTTTTGTCTTGGATTGACTTACTTTTTGCCATCAGCTACGATGCTGGAGACGTAGCCATGGCCTGCAACGAGAGTGGCGGAGGCTAGGAGCGTAGAAAGCTTTGAAAGTGTCATTTTGCTCCGACTTTCTGGTAAATCATTGAGTGGATGTTTCTGTCTGTGCAAGACATATCTTCGACATTGACGCCTACAGTTTATATACACAGCCCTCCCAGAGCTCGTCTTAGTCTGGTGTGACTATTTCATTTAGCCGGGCATTATGCTCCTGAAGGAAGTCCGTTCTGATCCTGGAATAGTGCCAAACGCAATTACGTCAATTGGGATGAGTTGAGCAGATGAACGTGACATCTAGTGTGAACTGTAAGGCTTGTTGTAGGAACTTGTTGGTGGAAAATCATAGATCGAAGCCGGAGCTCAGCCTTTTTATCATGTTATTGGTCTGAATAGAAAAGCCTCGGCGTTTGAGCCACCAAAGAGATATATTACCAAGAGTCATGGGGTCAGCCATTATATCCCAGTAAAGAGAACTACTCAAGCCAAAGTCTTGGAAAATAGAATCCACATGTATATATTTGGAGTACAGAAGCCAGGGGTACAAGTGCCAGCCCCCATGGCTAATTTCTGCAGCCAAGAACGGCAATGAATGGTAGTGATCCGGGGTGCGGGCCGATGGGAATATAGAATCTGCCACGGAGTACGTATATATCCCTGTAAGGCCCTCAATCTACTCCGTACCGTATGAGCTGATTGATACCAAGAGAATCTGCGACGTGCCAAGCAATGGGGAGAGTAATATGTATAGGAACTAAGTGCCGTGGCCTGAAGAGTAATGATCTACGTAAATACCCCGGGCCTAGATGTTGAGTCAAAAGGATGAAAGTCTACTTAGTCAACACATCTGGTAATATACAACTACTATACTCGAAGTGGGAAAGCTTTAACTTTTGATTGATTATAAAACGCTGGATACTAACACCTGAAAATGCAAAAATAAAGTGGTATAATACCAAGAGAGTGGCTGACTTAGCAAAAGACAACAAGATCAGATAGCCACTGAGCAACAGATAGAGAAGTATTCTGCGATTGTCGGTAATGTTGTCCTAAGCGTAAGCATAGAAATACAACCCCATGGATCGAGAAGACTAGTACATCTCGGTGCGCCTACCAGAGTAGTATGGGCTATAACGAAGAGCCGGATGCATAGAAACTAGACCAGCTTCATACAACATCTTCTGGAGATACTGAGGAGCAACACTTCGGATAGCCGCTCGCTCCTTACCCGTAAGTTTATCTCTAAGAGTCCTCTGGAAGCCGTGCCCATTCAAGACTTCCTTCAGTTTCTTGAAGAGCTTGGCAAAAGACTGATGATCCCTAGATGAGGCAGAAATCCCAAGGATTGACGGTCCTGTCCCCATAGCATTAGCACTGCCAGTGATAAAATCCTTAGACTCGTAAGGGAAGCCTGAGAGGAAGAAACGATCAAGTAAGTTCTCAGCTTTAGCGTATAGTGCCAAAGAAAGGAATGACCAACCGCCCTCGTTGCAACAGCTCATATGAATAGGAGGCAGCACCTCGGAGAACCACTCAAAGCAATCGGTGCAGTCGTCGAAAATGATACCGGTGATGAGATCGGGGCCTAGGTCGCGGGGACCTTCGATGGGCATGATGCCATTGCCGTCTGCGCCCCGAAGGGCCAGAGCTGCATTCGCACTATCGATGTTAGGGTACCACTGGACGGCATTGACGCGCTGCTTGAAACTGTTCGACGCATTACTACCCATCCATCCGAGTTTGATGTATTGTTCTAGTATCTTGTTAGTTTTCATCAGCTGGTTAATGGCATGAAAGCTCCCATGTGTCAACCTAGGAGAGCTCCCCAGAAGTTCGTCTAGGATATTGAAGATAATCTCTGGTGGAAACATGCTAAGGTTGCCCATAGCAGGGACCAATGGTTTTTGGTGGCACATATCTCCGATTCTACTTTTGTTGGGTTGTCTGAATGGTGCCGTGTTAAAAACCGAATGAGATTCTGGACAGGACAATATAATTTTGTTGCCCCAGATGAGTAGGAACAATGCGATGCTAACGTTGTCAATGTTGTTGATGGCTTCAGTTTTGATGAGCCCCGAGTTGATTTATATAGATAAGTTCAAGGAAACATGCCATGGACATCCTTGCTTTGACATTTACGAAAAGAAAAGAACCATAAAGACCTTTTTAAATACCTGTTCTTGGAGATAACCATTCCCAACAATGGTATTGTGCAACCAAAAGTATGAAGTAGACTCGAACAAAGAATCGAACAAGGACTCGGAGAGGCGAGGCAGTCCTAACCCCCGATATCAAAGAACCGAACGCCAGGTAAAAATAGGCATTGTCATTGCTTTCAGGCGAGCCATCAAAGGAAAGAAAGAACTGTAGTCACAATGTTAGTCTGAGATTATGGGAGAACACGACACGGTTCTGTATCAATTGAAGTGGAGTCAAGAAAAAAGGCCGGAGGCCCTTGTAATGCCTGCTAACTGGACAATTCAAGGACCGTTGATCTACACAGCCAGTATTTATCCGGTCTACCTGTTGCATGGGGAGACAAGATCAAAGTCGGGAGAACATCCATGATAAGGAAATGGATTAGGAAATCTCGACTGAGGACGAGAAACCTATGTAGTAATGATATTTCAACTGTTTTTTTCATTGGGTTGTAGGGACTGGAACCTCCGACAAAAGTGTTCCTCGAGTGCGTCCAGAAAATGCGAGTCGCCTGGCCGGTGAATAACAGCAGCCGGTTTCAAAGGCGCAAAGAAACTCCCCCGACGTAAAATTCATGTTCCACGCCACGGAGTTTTCCCCGTGTCGGCTCGCAGAGGGACCAAGCCCGTGTCATGTATCCCCCCAACAGTTGGTCTTGCATGCATCAACAACCAATCACGCCGCACTCCGATTCTCCGTTCATTCCATTGTTACCGAATTTAGTTGGTCTTCTTGGTGCCCTTGGAGACATCGACGACCTTGAGGGCTGTTCAGGAAGGAATTGTCAGCATGGGTTCAGAGCGACATTCAAAATCCATCTCCGAAGTTGTATTCCGATCTTCCTAACAACTCAAGACGACGGAACAATGCGATCGAAACGTACCAGGGGGCAGGCTCTGCTTGAGCTTGTCGGCCTTCTCGGAGTCCTTCAGGACAAGGGTGTACAGGTTGCGGTGGCAGCGGACCTTGAACTTGGTCTGCTGGTTCTTGCCGTTCTTCTTGATGCGGGCGGCTAAAGGCGTAAACAGTCAGCATCGATGATCATCTCCAGGTCTAATATCGGAAGTACATCAGTGCAGCGTAACGTACAGGAGGCATCCTTCCGGCGGCAGATCTCAATGAACTGCTTGATATCGGAGACTTCGGCAGGCATAATGACGGTTGCGGGTGTTTTGAAGCAAGGTGCAAAAGAGAAAGCTCACTGTCGACACTGGCCTCTAAGGTGAATGTGTGCGGATCACGTTAGGGCTTGAAGCTGCAAAAGCCCTTGCTTAGTCACACACGGTTTGCAGTTGGTGCCTCAGGCGGATTAACTGCAGTGGCTAGTGGGGGTGTTGTGGCCAGTGCAGCTGGGGCAATAAATGTGGCTGGGAGATGTGGGGGCAGCGAATGCGAATGCGGGTAATGATGGATGGTCCCTGTATCTGCTTCCTCAGGGATGCGATATGACGCGAAATGCTCCACCATTGTTCGCGATGGTTGATCCCGTCGCTCAGTATATCCTGGCCACCTCGAATTTCTGCTCCCCAACCGTGAATGGTGATACAGTTTCGGCGGCGGCTGAAGGGGTGTGCTTCCTTCATGATCGTATCTTTCCGGGTCCAGACTCTGTGAAGAACTCATGCTTTTTGATGTGACATGCAGGCGGACTCGGTATCGTCTCCAAAAGCCTATGCTGTAAACAAGGTCAACGTCTGGCTAAGGTTGATACTGCAATGATGATGAACCATACCCTTTTATGATGGCAGCTCCCACCGCAATAACGAACGTAACCGAAGACAGGAAGATGACTGCTTCCATATCGTCTATTGAGACAGGCTGTTCAAAGTGATTTGAAATGAATGAGGGCTTTAATGATAGACTGGTGGATATAGATATGCGATGCAATGGCGGCTAGAGTAGTGAGAGCAAGAGTTGCAAAGTTGGCTTTTACATTTTCTACACCTAGGTAATAGCTATGACACGATGCTTGCGTCCATAATTACTCGAAGGAAAGTGCCATGAACTGACCTCGGAAGTTGTTGAAGTATGTAGTTGAAGTAGGTGCAAACTGTATAGTTAGGAGGCAGCAGTGATGGGTGGCGTGGTGTGGCGGTGCAACCCGCGTCTGACGAACTGTTCACATCTATTCGTCTTGAATACTTGTCTTTTGCACGTGTCCTGTGAGACTTTTCTTTCTTCTACTTATTCTTTTAACTTTTCAGGAACAAGAGTTCTGCATCGACCTAAGAAACCAAATCATTTTCAAAATGCCGACCCCTTTAGACCGAGCATTGAATTCCAAGGTACTACCAACATGTCAGTCTATTACTTTATGAAAGATATCTAATATTGGACTCAATAGAATCTATTCCTTGGTAGATGATCCCAAGTAAAGGCATTTGCCAACATTTCTGACCACAATCTTCCTATATAGGATTTGCAGGAATGGTCACTGCGGTGGCAGCCTATACCATCATGGGCAGCGATGTTCTCCCCGCGCAAGCAGATCCCACTGGCGGTGAGAGTAGATATTACTAGATCTCAAACACAGGCTAATGGAAGCTAGACCCTGAAAACTGGACAATGGATGAGATGAAAAGATGGCTTCGAGCGGTATGTTTGAGCGATTTATTCAGACATGACTGAGTCCAGATAATCATACATTTTCTTGAGAATGGTACACTGACCAAACATCTCAGAGAGGGCTTTTACCGAGTGAGGCTGCGACACGTGAGGAGCTGCTTGAAAGAGTCAAAGCAAACCTCCGCATACCGCGCAAGACATCGGCTGGGCCATAATCCCCATAATAATGGGGGAAACATCATAATTTTCCTTCCTTCCCTGGCGTCTGGCGCTCTAGTTTTGAAGCAATTTCAAGCAGTGGACCATTGTTTGCATCGTATCTCCCAGCAATTCATCCTCGGTGGGTGGGCATGGCTCAGTTGTCTTTCACTTCCGTGTCACATGGCATAGCTTGTTGACTTGTGACTGATTCATAATTCGTTGGATCAAATATTGTGTGGTTGCTCAAACGACAAGGCGGAAGTTCTGGCTTTCGATAAGCCAATCTTTGCGGCCCCTCGCCCTCTCTGCGGATGGATTGGGGACCAGCACGAATGTCTCACTGAACCCGCGTTGCGGCTGATCGCGACCCTCACCATAGCGCACAAATCCACTGACTACAATGAGAAATGACATGTCTTTGACTCCCATCTCTGACTGTGGCTTCAGTCCGCCACCCGGCAAAATGGTAGGGTATGCTTTGTTGATAATCTGACAGTCGTATGATTGGACTTCGTAGTGTGTTGGTGACATTTGGTTGGTAAAGATTTCTTGCACAGCGGCGCCGTCTGCGACACGATTTCCATTGAACAGGATGGTGGTGGGCTCAAGGGAGTAGTAGGAGCTGAGAGATTCGCGGTTCAATCCCAAAGCCGGATAGAAGGTCTTAACGAACTCGGTCGCAGCTGAGCATGGAAGCAAACAAAAGGTCAGTTGTCTTCCAATAAGAGATGAAAACAAGCTCATAGTTTGAGACTTACCCTCGGTCGACACTTTGGTAAGTGCATCCTCGCTTGCTGTAGCCATCGCGATCGGTATTTCAAGTTGACAAAAAAACCGGGGAATAGTTGTGTGTGATATTGGAAGATGTAGAAATATGTTTCAAATGAGAGAAAAAATATATAGTTATTGACGACAAGGTCGTGGGTATTCTCGATGACGATGTAAGCGCGACGATGTAAGCGCAAAAAAATGGCCGAGAGTTGCGGAGAAGCTTGGACCACCCGAGATGTGCGGAATAACATGCAACGCTCTTCTTACCGTCATCACTATCCCAATGGCTACAGCAAGGACGCCACTTCGCTCGTTATTCAGAGCGTCTCAGTTTTTGAGATTGAGGCATCCGTGGAACTGTACATCTCGCAAGCATGGATGGGCAACAACTTCACGGCGCGGAGTTGCAACTACGCCGCAAAGGCCCAACAAGCCTTACTATGTGACAACGCCAATATTCTACGTTAATGCCGGTAAGAATTATAGTGAAGACCATGTGCAAACCGATTTGCTAACAATATACCTGACTTCTAGCCCCTCACGTCGGCCATTTATACACAATGGTGATTGCCGATATCATAAAACGGTGGCAGGTCTTGCTCGGGAACACGGATGCTCAACTACTGACCGGAACCGATGAGCATGGAATGAAGGTACCACATATCGATGGGATTGCAGGTCGAGAATGGGCGTTGACATCAATCACAGATTCAACAAGCTGCCATTCAAGCGGGCATGGATACCCAGGCATTTTGCGATATGAACTGCCGAACCTTTGAGGTGCGCGTCCCCTTCACCATACTCAAGGGCATATCTAACTCATTTCTTTGATATAGGCCCTAGCGAAGGCTGCAAACCTCGACAACGATCATTTCATCAGGACCACTGACCCGGCGCATCGAGATGCCGTCCAATATTTCTGGGTAGGCGACTATGTTCCGTTCATAGTAGGGCATGGCTGATCATGAGTAGGAAATGTTGCAACACCGGGGCTATATCTATACCTCGAAGCATGAAGGTTGGTACTCAGTCAGCGATGAGACATTCTATCCACAGACGCAAGTGCAGAACTCCCTAGATCCGTCAACAGGGAGGAAACGCATGGTACGTAAGCTATCAGATCCCAACGAGTACGAATACTAACCACACACAGGTCTCAATAGAAACGGGTAAAGAGGTAGAGTGGTCCTCAGAAACCAACTACCACTTCCGTCTCTCAGCCTTCAAGGATCGTCTACTTGACTTGTACAAAAGAGAAGATCCGTTTATTACCCCTACCTCCTACACAGCTGCTGTGATCAACGGAGTTGAGTCGGGACTGCAGGATCTCTCAATTTCTCGGCCCGTGGAACGTCTGACTTGGGGTATCCCTGTTCCCGGCGATGATACGCAGACAATCTACGTGTGGCTAGATGCCCTGGTCAACTACTTGACCAAAGCTGGATATCCTTTCCCGCCTGGACAAGAAAACACGTCTATATGGCCTGCAGACTTGCACGTAGTTGGCAAAGATATTGTTCGGTGAGTTCACGAGTTATTCCGAAGGACCACGTGCAAAATTAATCGTTTGACAGATTCCATTGTGTTTATTGGCCTGCTTTCCTCATGGCACTTGATCTTCCCCTGCCTCGGAATGTCCTGGTGCACGGACACTGGACGATGAATCGTGAAAAAATGTCCAAGTCCACAGGCAATGTTGTGAACCCGTTTTTCGCCATTGAGCGGTTCGGAGTCGATGGCATGCGATTTTTCCTAGCGTACCGGGGTGGCCTTTCCGATGATGCGGACTTTGACAATTCCTTTATCATCCGAGATTACAAGAAATTGCTTCAGGGGGGCTCGGAAACCTTGCTCTGCGTACAATTGGATGTGCGCGTGGCAATTTGCGCTCGTACATTATCGATGCCCGATCGGATAAACTTCCAGCTGCTACCCCTGAGGACTTGGAACATCAGCAAATGTTGGAGCAGACGCCTGCCCAGGTTGCCGAGCTTATGGAGAAACTGAACCCGCGTGCCGCGCTGCAAGAAACTATGAGCATTATCGAGAAGGTAAGAGGTGATCATCCCCGCACGGCTTCGGCGAGTATTGACCTATTTTTTTAGACTAACAAGTACTTCCATGCGGCGGAGCCGTGGAAAACTCCCAATTCTCAACGAGTCATTTACAACGTGGCGGAATCACTGCGGATCGCTGGCATTTTATTGCAGCCGTTCATGCCCGGCAAGTCTCATGATCTTCTAGAATTGCTCCGTGTAAATACCTCGGACCCCTCCAAGCGGGCATTCGCGGCCACGGCGTACGGTTCGGATCCAGATTACGGTGAGGGCGTTAAGAAAGGTGTTCTTTTCCCTCCTTTGCTCACTGAGGAGTAATGCGCCTGTTTTTGAGCTTTCGATTTGATAACAGGAATCGACCGGCGGCCAATCATGGGCGACGGAGAGGCCCGTCTGAATAAAGATGTGCATCTTCTCCGCCCGGATGCGCCAGACGAGTTGAGGTTTTTTTCCCCGGGTCCTCCACAGCTCGCAAGCTGAGACGCCAGGTTTCCCACGCCCGGCCACTCTAATACAAACGGTATGTCATAGCCGTCATGGCCGACCCACTGTGATTGGGGTTTCCCTCAAGGTTATCGACGGGAAAGACTGGGCCAGAACCGTGGATACTGTGATCAATCCTATCAGGCGGGAAACTCCAGTTTCCCGTCGGGAAGCTTTTGCCCTAGCCCTCGAGGCTCACTTTGTATATCAAAACATGTCTTAATATCTGCATGGAGTTTGGATGTTTCAGTATTTATTTTATTTTTCTTCCCGATATATCCCTATCTCTTTATTTTGGTGAATTCACACCCTTCTGTCGTGTAACAACTCGACTCAACAATTTACTATTTTGGGAACATCATTTCTATACTTCTGATCTTGGAACTCCTCCGGTGACCAACAGAAACGTTTTTTTCTCTTCCATTTGTTCAACACATCAAAATGGGGAGCATCGACATTTCCGCCTGCGATCAACTGCAGTTCAAAACACCATGGATCGAGACACCACTGGTCGAGTCTGCGTGCCTTTCTCGGGCAGCTGGATGTAGAATCTTCCTAAAGTTGGAGAACGTGCAGCCCAGCGGTTCCTTCAAGTCCCGTGCTATGGGCAACCAAATCCTCTCTCACCTTCGCAACCCAGCAAACGTGGGCCGCAGAGTCCACTTCTACGCCTCGTCCGGAGGAAACGCCGGACTGGCAGCCGTCTGTGCTGCCCGGAGCCTGGGCTACCCATGCACTGTCGTGGTGCCCATGAGCACGAAGCCCTTGATGCTTGACAAGATCCGGGCAGCAGGCGCGGAAGACGTCATCCGTCACGGCGAGACATTCTCCGAAGCAGGAGAATACATGCGGGAAACTATCATGAAGACAACCAACGAGGATGACCAGGATGTGATCAAGATTGCCCTCCACCCGTTCGACAACCAGCCTATCTGGGAAGGAAACGGCACCATCATCGACGAGCTCGAGACCCAGCTTCCTCCCGCCACCAGCCCCGAAGACAAAAAAGCCTACAATGACCGAGCCCTTCCCCTAGACGCCATCCTTTGCAGCGTCGGCGGTGGCGGCCTCCTCAACGGCCTCGTCATGGGCATCGAAAAGCGACGACAGAAGAAACAAATTACCTCCTCTTCCTTCTCCACACCAAACCCCATTCACCTCCTCGCCATTGAAACGGCTGGTACCGATTCCCTGGCAGCAGCCATCGCCCATAAATCTCTCATCTCCCTCCCAAAGATCACATCCCAGGCCACTTCTCTCGGCGCTGTCCGCGTCTCGGAAACAACCTTCCAGTACGCTGTGTCCCCGCCCCCAGGCATCAAGGTGCACAGCACTGTCCTCTCAGATGCAGACGCCGCCCGCGGTGTGCTCCGCCTCGCCAACGACGAACGACTCCTCGTCGAGCTTGCGTGTGGTGTCTGCATCGAGGCGGCCATCGGCGATGCTGCTACTGCTGTTCCAGTGTCGGTGCCTGCCGGCGCAGGTGCCCAGGGCATTAAGAAGCGTAAGAGGGGCTTGGTTGAGTCTGATGTTACTTACCGCGATGAAGGCTACGGGGATGACCGGTCGACCTCGACGGATAATGAGACCGACCAGGAGCCTGAGCCGGAGGTCGGCGAGAAGCTCAACTCAAAGCTTAAGCAGCTTGTTCCTAATCTCAACTCGGAGAGCAGAGTTGTTATCATTGTCTGCGGTGGCAGCTATGTCACTATTGATATGGCTTGTGAATGGCGTAAGATGTTGGATGAGGGATGGGCATGATCATTGATGATAGATATATTTTTGTTTTTTTATACCTTTTTTTGACTTGTCTTTTGGCGTTTGATTTGCGGCCCTACACTTGTTGGACTTTTTAATTACTATCGTCTAGATAGAGGCTTTGACTTTCGCATCGTCCATACAATCATACAATGTATACAGCGGTCTTTTACTTCAAAAAAAGAATCTCATTTGGACGCAATACTTTTCAATGAAACATCCAAGACTTTAAAACTTATTTCGATAGCAGTTGTTCAGCACGAAACATTTTCCACCCTCCATACGGCGGCGACATCCGCAATGCCCTCCCCAAATCAAGCCACAGCCTGATCCAGCTTCCGAATACGATAATCCCAATAATTCTTCCGAATAGGATCAAACTCCTCCTTAAGCATCGTCAACATCCTCACAGCCTCCCCCTCCCTCCCAGTCCCCTCAGCAAAAACATCCGCCAACCACTCAACAGCATGCGAACTCTTAACAGCCCCCTCGGAAACAAACCCACCAACAAAGCCCTCCCACTCCCCCAACCCACGTCCAGCAGCCCTCAGCACACCGCGCGCATACCACCAGGGACTCCGGTTCTCGGGCGCGCGCAGGATAGCCTCCTGCGCAAATTTCAGCTCACCATCAATCATGTCCTCATCGACAACAGACAGCCTGCCCTTCTCAGCCGGCGCGGTCGAAAGATCACCCGCGTTCACCATCCCCGCGTCTGGAACCGATGTGTCTCGCGGTCCGAAACGGAGCATGTACCGGTGGTTCCAGGCGGAGTTGTTGCGCACGTCGGCTTTCAGGAGGAATTCCACGTCTTCGAGTTCGCGTGGTTGGTCCCATAGTTTGAAGTGCCGCACGAGCCAGTGGCGGTAGGTCCATACGTGGTAGTTTTTGGAGTCTTGGGCGAACATCTCCATTAGGAAGTCTGCTTCTTTGGGTGGGAAGGTTGGGAAGTGCGCTTTTGATGATAGCAGGACTTGGCGGTGGTGCCTGTTTGAGTTGTTAGTTTTATTTCTAGTCTTTCTAATTTCTCGTCTTTTTCTTGCATGGCTTTCTGGCGTTGGTGGTTGCCGGGTGATAGTCGACATACCAAATTTGATAGTTTTTGAGATACTTCAACGAAACATCGTTCAGCCAGCTCAATTCTTCATTCAGGTCTTTCTCCAATGCAAATAGAATCTTTGCTCGGTAGATCCTGTATAAAATGTCAGATATCAATATGGCATGTCACGAAGACGCTATTACTAGCCAACTTACCATACAGTGTAATGCGCTGGATTCATCGAGATCACATCTTTAGTCAAATTCAATGCCCGCTCAGACATCTCGTTCGCGGCCATCACGGCACGCAAATACGAGGTCGCCTCGAGGTACTCGGCTGGGTAGGCGATAGTCGCCAGTGGCATGGCGCCCGAGCTCGAGCCATCGTCCAAGTCAATTGGGGTGACGGATGCCCATTCGGGATCGGTGGAATATGTTCCCTCCATGATACGTCGGTGCAGATTGCAGTGAGAAGCTTAAGAGTGGAAGAATAATTGCCGGGATGCAATGAAATGGTGGGGGTAACAGGGGTCGGATGCACAGGAGGAGTCCGGGTTGGGTTCTCACGACTAATGCTCTGCGCTGTCGAGATCAGAGTGTGCAATCTCGATCAATCAAACTCCTGTTGAAAAGAGAATTGTCCAAATAAAAGACCGAACGCGAAATGCGACGAATATAAAACATGAAGTGGAGGTGGGGCGGGTGTTTCTGCCTCAGGCGCAAACAAAGAAACCGAACAATATCAAGGCAACCCGCTTCTCTTCCTATTCTTCTTTTTTTTTTTGATGCAGTTGATAATTTGAAAAGGGGATATATTTGCATTATTATTGGTAATTCCATAGTCTTTTCTGCTCCTCGATCCACCACTTTCCCACTTTCTCCGCGTCTACCAGCCACTTCCCGGCTTTGTCTCCATGTTTCCTTTGTACACGGCCGATCAACTCCTCGAGGGACCACCCACGCAATGGACTCAACTCGTCCGGGTCGGTGTCTAGGTTAGAGAAAACATACTCAAAGTCCTCAGCGAGCGGTAATATGAGTCGGTACGGGACTGCCGCAGACCCAACGCTGAGCATTGTACCCCCGGGGTTGATAATGCCGAAGTTCCAGGCCTGTCGGCCATTGTGGGTAGCTTGGTACGGACGCACCAGTGACTGTCCTTCGTATTCATTCATCAAGTCTAGAGCCGCACTGGAGTCCATCTCGTTCAACGAGCCCGAGTTCACGAGTAGATCGAGAATAGTCGGGACGACAGACATCGAGGTTGCATTTGCTGTGATTTGCAGTGCGGGCAATAGCGGGTGTCGGAAAACAAGGGGAATGCGGAAATTGCTGATATGTCCGTTCTCATAGGTGCCGGAGACTGGCGCGTCTTCGGAAAACGCCTGGCCACTGTTTGGGATTAGTATATGGTTATTTGATTGTTGTGCAGAGTTGCTGAAGCTGGTGCAACATACTGATCTCCCACGAATACGACTAATGTCTCGTTTGCAATCCCGGCTTCATCGAGGACCTTCATCATCTCGCCAAGCCATGTGTCCACGTATCGGACTGCGTTTAGATATTGGTTGATATCCTCGTGCTTCGCCATGATACCATCTCCGGCAAAGTATTGCTCTTCGTGGTATGCCGCGGGCGTGCCCCATGGGTGATGGGTTGTGCTCGTGAAATGTGACAGGAAAAGTCGCTCGTTGTTCTCAATTGTATTGTTCACCACATCTCGCAGATATGGGTATATCTCGTACTCCGGGTACCTAGATAACGTATTAGCAACGTGAGTGCGGATGGTCTGGGATAGTCCTCAGTCGGTGGGAGTATGATATACCTACCCAAAGTAATTGATCTCCTCCATGTTCTCGTGATAATATTTGGCACTATGCTGCTCAATGTCTTCGCGATAGATTGATTTTTGAAATCCCATCTGCATGTTGAGCTTATCTTGCTCGTCGTATTGTCCTGTGATGGACTGCAAGAACACGGAGCTCCAGTTTCGGTCATGAATGTGCTCAAGCCCAGTCCCGGGCTTATGATTCACTGTACTCTTCTTTGTCGAGTTCTCCTTGAGTTGGTTGAATAATTCAAAGATCTGCATGATACACGGCTGATAATTCTGAGAGTTGACCTCATCCATGAAGTTCACCGGCAGAGGGCCCGCACCGCAGTAGTTCATGACTGCGCTCTTGAACGATAGACTGCTACCAGTGAGGATACCATTGACGTTGATACCGCCCATTCCTGGCTCTGTTGTGTCATTCCACCCACCACTAGAGGGGCTGGAAATGCTGTTGTTTGTCGAAAGTCCACTCGTCTCTCCGGTCAACTTCTCTGCGTTCGGTGTCAAATGTGATAATTTGGCATTGACCTTTTGGAGGACTTCGGGGTCTTTGATATTGTAGGACGATAGAACCTCCTCGTGCAAATGTGAGCCTGCCTTGAAGGGGAATATATCCTTCCGAGCACTTTCCATCAACACAAGCACGACATGTGTAATGGGAACTTTATGGTTCTTGAGAGCCCGAGCTACGGGCTCAAGCATTTCACGGTCGAGATTGGTGATTCGAAGAGGGTCGTCCGTAGGGCTATAAATGTTATTCCGAGAAGTCCCGTTCCCATCCAGAGTAACGCTCTCTCCTTCATCTCTGCCGGACTCTCCGTCGCTCCACCGCCCGAACCCTGGTGGTAAATTCCCAGACGCCCATACGGGTTGGTTCTTTTTGGCGTTTGATTCTAGCCCTCCCGGGGCCCAGCCCTTGAAGTGATCGTGTGGGCCTTCCCAATATGGCTCATCAATCAAGTCAGCGAGTGGAAATGCTTGATCTCCATTCCGATGCATCTCAGCAGGTCTCGAACCCAATGCCCGGAAAAAGCTAAATGGGACGGTCTCGGACATATGGTTATAAGGCACCTGAGGCCGAGTCAAGCGCAAGACTCCAATGACTACCGCGGCGCATACTGTCCAGAATTGAGTAAGTCGTGCTGCGCGCGACTTTCTTTGAGGGCTGATCATGATGCCTTCTTCGTCCGCCTTTTCGGTTTGTGCGCCAAATAGCGCAGACATCCAATGGCCTATAAGAACGTACGTCCAATATTTGAGTAGCCATGATATCACAAGAAGGGCGCCCGCAGCTCCCAAAAATGACCTCAGCCCGCTGAGCATCAGCTTTCTACCTTCCGGGTCATTTCCCACGGCTGTGGCTGCATCCCAGCGGATCTCACTGCCAGTCACAAAATAGAAACCAATTTGAGATGAGGACAAGATGAAGCTCAGAGATCTGTAACAGTTAAAATATTGGTCTGGCTCATTGACTTCACTTAGTAGAAACAGATTGAAGCACTTACGTTATGACCAGTGTCACTGCAGTGCCGAAAAGGGACTTTACGCCCGTAAATTTGAATAGCAACCCCCACGCGGTTACGCAGAGAAGAGTCTCAATGATGAAGAATGTCGGAAAGTAGAGCGCAAATTGGCCGCTGGGGAGAGAAGAGGCATGTTGGAGGAGATGAAGCACTTTGGACGATGTCAGTGACACAACCAGTAGCGAGACAATGAAGGGTCGGATAAAGGATTGGCGTTGGATGATCATAATGAATGAAAGAGAGCTGGCAAGACCAAAATTCACATTGTTGCCTCCAATTCACCCTCTCGAATCCAAGTGCTTTCTTCCAGCAGACAGAAGTTATGGTAACGAGAGTCCAAATGTGATTTGAATTGTGCGTCTTTGTTTAGGGAGGCCTGTTATTGATCAAGAAGATGGGGAAAGGTAACCCATCATAACAATCGAATTGTACATAGCAAAACACAGATGCGGCGTTATATTGTTTCACATCCGAAACCGGCTTGAAGCTTGGTTTCTAGTCTATGTCCACCTCAATACCCCCTGGGTGGATCGATCAAGGTATGTGGTCTCTGTCTAAATAGGAAAGGAGTCAGGCGAGCTAGCTATTAAGGGGTGAAGGGGCATGTGCTCACCTACTTCTTTGGGATGGAATTCCAAACCGTTCATTGGAATGTAGGGTCGCCAGTTTCTATTACCAACTAATAATTTCACGCTTTTATCTGCTAAGACTGACTCTTCCCATAGATTAATATTGTACACCGTGTTATGTGTATATATGTATTCACAAGCTCGGTTTGACTTCACCCAAATGTCTCCCCGCCATTGTTCATGTATTCAATCTCCTCCGGGGTAGATACTCTCCCCAGTGCCTGGTTACGATGCGGGTATCGTCCAAATTGCTCAATAATCACTTTATGCCTCTTCTCAAAGTCAAAAGTATTGCTCAAGAATGCCTGAAGTGCCTCCCCCTTCTCGGATAGAACGCCATAGCATTTTCTTTCCTCTTCCGTAAGCGTCGATGCATCCCTAGCTATAAGCTCATTCAGATCTCTGGCTGTATCCTCGTGCACCTTGATGGCTTTCTCATGCACAGCCAAGTTTTCCGAATGCATAAGGGGCATATGGAACCAAGTACGATAAGCCATGCGATACATGAAATACGGCGACTGGGTCGGTATATCTTCTTTAATTGCGCGAAGGGCAATCTCCTCGGCCAATGGGTCAAAGCGTCCAAACACTAGCTTTGACTCGGCTCCCCGGTAGCAATTGCGGGGAATCTGGTCAAGTAGAATGATGATGCTGAGCCAATCCAACGGCGAGGACGGGTTAACTGCAGATAGAATGTCCGAAGCTGATGCTCCAGAGCGAAGGATTGTTTCTAGAACAGGGCGGAATTGGGTGCTGTTTGAGCTCGTTAGGTTCTATTCTGGCGTCGAAATAAGGAGACAAATGGTCACTTACATGCAGATCTGGTCAAAAGCCTCGTCACGAGAGAACCACTTTCCCATCTCGCTCCATCCGGGTAGAATCAGTGCCTCTTCGCAGCTCAGATGATCGAACCACAACTTGTGCACGTCATCAAGGAGAGTTGGTGTTAAAGTCTGCTTGAGTTCGGAGGAGCTTGCCATTGGGATAGGAGTTGAGTGAAACTCGCGAGCAAAGGCACTTCTGCCAAAGTTCTTCTGCAATTGAGGCCTTCCAATGGGATTTGTACGGAGAGGGATTAATATCAGGGCGTTAGCCAGGATCACCACAGGCTTGAAAGTCGGCAGTCTCTGAAAAAGTCCCTTTGAAATTGCCTATCTTAATGTTAGACTTATGGAAATGCTCATTTGGACATTTATTTACCTTGCTGCGCACTAGAAATGTCATGATCGAGCGTTGCCCTGGTGTAGACATCAAATCAGAATTGTCTTCGGGATATAGTTAAGTAGTACTGCAATTACCAAGCACAAAGCCCACGGCCCCTTCCCAACCCCGAGGCCGTAGCTGAGTCATCAATATTTTCCCACCTTGGAAGGTCGAAGCAGAGTAGAGGTTCTGGGTTTATTTTATTTTTTTGTAACATCTATACTCTCTAGATACTTGATATAGTCCTCCATGTACCTAGGTAGCATATATTATATAGTCATCAAACCAGACATCGTCATATCTCCCATTTCACCCAAAGAGGCAAAAGAATCCCGTTTATCTCGATAAGGCCCATTTTCACTCCCCGCATGGTTTTCCCCTCAGCCTATACTCCGCATCTTGAACGTTGTCGGATCTTCTCAGGTTCATATTCTCTATGCTTTATAATGCGCCGCGTTAAGAAGTCTAGAAATGGCTGTGCAAGATGCAAGAGTAAACGGGTTTGTGTTTCCCGTTTCCCGCCTCGGAAAATCGGATATCACTGACATGCAAAGGTCAAATGCGGCGAAGAGAAACCTCACTGCAGTCGCTGTACCCGCTTAGGCGTCCGGTGCCCTGGCTATGCACAATCCCTGCGCTGGGTTACCAAGTATGAGCAGTCTAGTCCCGCCGTAACGGCATCGATCTCGGAGGTGAGAACCCCGAGTCCCGCTGCCTCGACTGCTCCTAGCCAGCCGGCAAACCAAATCGACAATGGTTTGCCGGATGATTCAACTTTGGAGCAGACACATGAACCAGTTCCTTCAAATTTTGTCTTAGATGGACGAACTGCTCTATGTGACAATCTATGGGAGCATCCGGGCCATGGGTCTTTACCCGAACTGGCGGATCTATGCTCACCGTCCCCTATGGCGGCGGCATCGTCGTCTTTCACAAACCAAAGAGATATTTTCCATGACTTTGAACAGCCAGAAGATGTCGGTGTGGATCTGTCACACTTTCTGTCACTTATCGGATCAACACCAAGTGAGGAACAGATTGACAATGTTTACCGAGACTTCTCACCTTCGGCCATTGTGCGCAGTTATCCTCCTGCATCGAATCGCCCTGCACCACATAACTTCATATCAATGTCTCGTCAACTGAATAATCCATCATGGACTTTGATCGAGTACTATTTCAAGGAAGTGGCAGCACTGTTCTCTAGCTACGACAGCCAGATGAACCCATTCCGAACCACGGTATCCCGTCTTTGGGGATCTTCACTGGCGATGTGTCGAACAATGCAAAGCATGGCTGCTGCAACGCTGGTCACCGAATTTCCCCAGTTCGGTCCCATGGGCCGAAGGATGCGTGATGAAGCTGTTGATATAATCACTCGCGAAGCAGTAATAGACGACAAGTCTTTGCTGGCGCTGCTAATGCTCGGACAAACGGCTAGCTGGCATGACCCAAGTGACTTGGGTATATCATTTTTCAACCTGCTCCGCAAGCAGCTGAATACTATCACTTCATCGTCGCACAGCTCTGGCTTCAGCTTCCCTAAGAACGACAGCAATAACTACCGGTTCTTCGAAGAAGCTCTCATCTACTGGGAGATGCTGCTTTCCTTCGTCGCAGATAATGACACCATGGTCCTATCTGACAATTCCCGAACCTCTTCATCTATGGGCGAGTCCTTCGTTCTACAACGAGTCCCACACCCGTGGACCGGCATCGCGCGCGATACCCAGTTCACATTGCACGAGGTCGGGCAGCTCATCCGCCGTGAGCGAAAACGCATACACTCAAGGCGGTTCACCTCCCAAGATGATATCACTCGTGCACAGTTAGCAATCGAGAAAGCCCGCGAATTAGAAGAACGCCTCTTGGGTCTCGCCCATCCCTCCGAGGCCGAGATCGTCAGTCCTGGTGACGACGATACCCCAGTATGGCACCTCCTCACAATGGCCGAAGCGTATCGATGCGTCGGCCTCATGCAGCTATACCGCGTCTTCCCAGACCTACTGCACAACCGCCTGCCCGCTCCAACATCCACAACATCCCAATACCCCGGCAACGCCGATCCAGCATCCCGCGACCCATTCTTCCCAATCGACCTTGACAGCATGAATCTGTCAGCTGGATTCGGCGACCCCAGTCCAGCAACAGGACAAAATACCAATTCTCGACGTAACGCCCCTTCGCCATCTACAAGATCTTCCCCTCACAATCTCTACCGCGATTCCCCTCACCATCTACCATCCCCGCCATCACCAGACACCCAACCCCAACAACCCCCCACCCCAGAAGCCCTATACAGCAACTGGCTCACCGAGTTCGCCGTGACAACCCTCTCCCGACTAAAAACCATACCCCTGGAATCCCGCACCCGCTGTCTTCAGCCATTCCTCCTGGTAGCATCCTGCTCAGAACTCCGTCTCCCGCGTCTGACCACAGAGACAGGCACTCAAACCCGAAATGGCGAAGAGTATTTAGAAGGCGGTGTTAACGATAGTAACAACCCAAACCAAACACCTACCATCTCAATGGAGGCGATTGAAGTCTCGCGCACGCGCAAGTTCATCCTCGGCCGTCTAACGTCCTTTTTGCATGTTCTGCCGCCAAAGCCGATTCATGTATGCTTGAAATTGGTTAATGAGGTCTGGAGGAGATTGGATGCTGGGGATGATGATGCTTATTGGGTTGACGTTATGATTGAGAAAGGTTGGGAGACAACTATGGGGTGAGATAGTGCCAAGTTGCCTTGGGCTTTAGGGCTCCCAGTTTAATACCATGGTATTATTTTTTTCGCATTTACGATCAGAGTAGTTGTTGGTTCCAGTTATGGGGACGCTGCCAGACTTTGCTGAGTGATGTGTTTTGTTAGACTTGTAAATTTATCGAAAAAGTAAAGTGATCATAAGATTCATCGAATAAAACTTGGAAAACACCCCAAACCCCAATGTCCCTTCTGTTTTTTTTTTTTTTTTCAAGTTTCCCAATTTCACTCTTCAGAATCAACCCCCAACATCGAGCATATCGAGTACATACACAATTCTCCAAGCACACAAAATACCAAAAGCAGAACCAACTACTTGCTTCCACTGCTTCCACTGCTTCCACTACTTCCACTGCTTCCGCTTCCACTGCCTCCGCTTCCACTACCCCGAGTGTATCCCTCCCACCACTTCGAGAACATACCCCCCTTAGCCATCTGGTCATTCCAGCTCGCGCGGCGGGTAGCCATATCCGCATCAGTAGATTCACGCTTCTGCGTACGCAAGTTCGAGAATAGGCCGTTGTGGGCGCCGGCAGAGCTGCGACGACGCTCACCTAGGCTTGGGAGGTTAGGCGAGGTGGGTTCGGTTTGTTTGTTTCCATCTGAGGAGGTGGAGGTGGTGGAGTCCTTCATTTTGGGTGTTAGGTTTGTTTTTGGAGATAATATAGATGGATGGATGATGCGGTATAGATGGATGTATGGATAGATGGTAGTGAGGTGGTGATATAGTTCCAAGAGGATGATGATGGGATTGATATATAGGAAACAGAAATCCAAAGAGGCAAATGACCTACCCTTCTAGTATCCACAGGCATCGCCCAGGCAGCGCGACCACTGGGGCTCTTGGCACCGCCGTTCATCCAGACATTCAGGTGCTCGTAACGGTCGCCGGGGCTTCCGTGCCAGTGGCGGCGGGTATTATCGTCAGACATATTGGATATGTCTAGGCACGTGGAGTAATCCGTGATGGATGTGTTCTGGTTCTTTTCACGGGGATTTAGTAAATGTGAGATGAAGTATGGAATTGTAAAGAAGTCGAGGAGATGTAATAATTAGATATCTATTTAAGGGTTGGGAGTCGACGACGTCATTATTGTTCGGGTTGCCTCTTGGGGATCGATGGGATGGATATACATAAATAGAATAATTGAGAAATGAAATGAAACTTACCTCAATATTCTCCAAGATCAGCTTGGACTAATGGATATGAATAATAAAGAGAACCAAAAGGCAAAGAGGGGAAGATGCCCTCCTTATAAGTGCATGTGTAGATTGGTTACCAGGTTCCAACGCCGTGGTCAATCACCGTCTCCTGTGGGAATCTGGAAGGGTCTAGTACCTTTACTAGCGAAGTCAAGACTGTCTAAAGTACTACAATGTACTTATTTTTTTGACCAGCACATGGACTATGACTAGATACTACTATATGCTACTATGTACTATGATGTACCCCAGAGAGTTTTGACGTAATTGGAATGCGGGGAAAGCTTGGCATATAATTTATATCAAGTTGGAAGCTATATATAGTTACTGGTGAGTATTCTACTATATCTATGCTTATACCTACTATCTATGCACATAGGTGCATAGGTATCACCCTAACCTCTCATCAGCATCCCTCAACACCTTCCAAACCCTAACACCTTCCTCCCAATCCCCATCCTCCACAATCTCAACACTCCCATCCTCTTTCAGCGTCCTAACCCCCCTAGCCCCAGAAGTCCCCCATCCAAACTCCCCCTCCCCACAAACAAACCTCCCTAACGGACTAACAAACCCCTCCTTAACAACCCCCTTCTCCCCCTCCCCCAACAACCCCCCATTACCAAAGAACCAAATCGGATAATCCGACGAATGCGTAACCCCCCACTCAATCGGCAAAGTATTCTCAACACACTTCGCCCGCCACTCAATCCGATACCGAAACAGCAATGCCGAAGCATCAACCCCGTCCTCGTTTTCCGTCAGCGCATGCACAAACCCACGCTGCATCTGATGCACCTGCATATCAGCATAGATCCTGCCCCACGCATCCTGGTCCCAATTCTTGCAGTTCGCCGGTAGACACCCGTCCGGGTAATACAGCGGTATAGCAGCGTCGACGATGTGTTCTGGGTAATCTGCGACGAGACGGGTGCGCAGCGCGGAGAGGGTGTTGTCTGTCGGTGGGAACCAGGTGCTGTAGAGGAAACGCTCGTCACGACATTCGCCTATTATGATGCGGATGTTGCGGGCTAGCAGGCTGCGGGCGAAGGCGCCGGTGTCGAGGGTTGTGAAGAGGGATGGGGAGATGAAGGATTTGTCTGTTGTTGGGCGGAACTGGTGGAGGGGGATTGTTCTTGCTTTTTCGAGGAGGGTTTTTGCGGGGATTGAGCGTAGCCGGGTGAGTTTCTCGCTATACGTAAAGGTGAGCGGGATATCCAGGGCTGTTAGGAGTTGGTTGAATTGGGTTTGTGTTTCGGTTGGCTGCTTGGGCTGGACGGCTGGACTGTTTGACCAGATGCAGGCTTGGCGGATGAGAGAGTTCTCGTCTGGTTGGCGGAGGTCGTAGGCTAGTTGGTGGAAGACGGAGTTTGCGCCTGCAGAGTATCCTGAGATCGTGATGGCCTTCGGATTGCCGCCGAAAAGTTGGATGTTCTCCTTCGTCCACTCGAGTGCTAGTCTCTGGTCCCAGAATCCGTGGTTCCCAACTGTTTCTCCGACAGTGGCCGCGTCTTCCTCCAGTTCCGCTGAGTAGAGGAATCCGAATAGGTTGACCCGGTATGCGGGCATCACAACCACGCAGTTGAAATCAGCTTCGCCGATCAATGCAGCCGCATTAAATGAATTGGGCGTGCCGAATTGAAGCCATCCGCCATCTGCACCGAACAATGCCTGTCAGCATGGTTTATATGGAACTATTTCACCCCATTCCAAGTCCGAAGCCCATATACGCTTTCAATCGGACAATACTCACGAATAAAAACAAAAACTGGCCATCCTCCCTCAGGCGCCTCCCCAATAGGCGTCCAAACATTGCATTGAAAGCAATCCTCATTCCACGCATCCGGGTTCTCGGGCGAGATATTCAGGAAGCCCGGTTGGGGGCAAAGCCCCGCACCACCATCACAGCGGCCTGGTACTTCTTCATTGCCGTAGGTGAAGGATGCGGGTAGGGGCTGGGTGCGGCGCCAGCGCTCGGCGGGAGCAAGACCGTAGCGGACGCCGCCGAAGTAGTGGCAGAGGTCTTTGGCTTGGCCGGTGGGAGAAGACGATGTTGAGATTGTTACGCCTTGGATTGTGCCGCGGTGGGCGAGAGATTTGAGATGAGTGCGGCGGATTGTTTCCATCTTTCTTGGCTTCTGTTTTGTTGATGGTTGATTTGGAGTAGTGGAGTATATATGTAGATTCCAGGAGACACAGTAGAAGTAATCACATACGTCGCTATTCTGAGATGGTATTCAAGTATGTTGTACAGTCAAGTAGAACGGTCCGAGCCTGGGCAACACGCCTTTTAAGATGGTATCTAGGTATCTCTCGGCACTTCATTCCGCAGTTTCGGACGCTTAGTAGCCGAGATAAAGAGGCGATTAGATTTCATTGGTGAGAGACAAGGAGCTCGGCAATTCACCGTTAGCCATTGGCTGTTGGCAGCTGGAGAAAGAGATAGTGCTTTGCGGGGAGACCCGCAGAAAAGAGAGTAGAGGTCCGCTCGGAGCCAGATCTGGAGATTACGGGCTTGTAGGGAACTATAGGGATCTGTGAGTGACAGATTATGACCGAAATGTTTTGAACAGAAATACTGTTTGATTCCGAATAAGCTAGAACAGCAAATTGCCTAAATCCAGAGATGAACTCAAAAAACATAAACTAAAAACGCTGAGAAATCATTCAAGTCACATCACGCATCACAATTCGTGCATGGTTCAGTAGTACAGAGTCACTATGCTTTTACGCCTTGCTGATCCTGCAGATCAGGTCCTGGCCATCGACGGAGTCGCCCTCCTTGACCTGGAGGCCGGACACCTTTCCGCTGTGCGGGGCGGAGATCACCATTTCCTAGATGAGAGTTAGCAACACATTCATATATGTAAAAGAAAACAAGAAATAATAACATACCATCTTCATGGCGCTCAGCACCGCAATAGGATCACCCTTCTTGACCTCGTGGCCATCGTGGATGCGGATCTCAACCACGACACCGCTCATGGGAGCGCCGACCTGGCTGCTATCCGTGGGGTCGGCCTTGGCGCGGGCGAGGTTCTCGATCGAGGCCTTGTTGTCATCGACACTGACCTGGCGGACTTCACCGTTGACCTCGTAGAAGACCTCACGCTGACCGGTCTGCTCGGAGAGAGGACCGATGGCGAGCAACTTCAGGATCAGGACCTTACCCTTCTCCAGCTCAACGTGGAATTCCTCGCCGATCTCGGGCCGGGCAAGGAAGTAGCGCGTGGGCAGAACGGACAGATCACCGAACTTGGCCACGAACTTGCGGTAGTCCTCGAACACCTTGGGGTACATGGCGTAACTGGCGACATCGCACTCGGTGGCGGCACCGAACTTCTCGCGGATATCGTTCTTGATCTTGATGAGATCCATGGGTTCCAGGTACAGACCGGGGCGCTTGTCGAGCTTGCGGCGGCCGCGTAGGGCCTTGGTACGCAGAGGCTCGGGGAAGCCACCGTAGGGCTGGCCCATCAGACCTTCGAAGAACTCCAAGACTGATCCAGGGAAGTCAAGTTGATCGGCACGGTCGAGCACGTCCTGGGCGGACAGCTTGTTGCTGACGATCCAGGAGGCGAAGTCACCACAGACCTTGGAGGAGGGGGTGACCTTGACGATGTCGCCCAGCAACTCGTTGGCCACCTCATAGGCCTTCTTGGTCTCAGCCCACTGCTGTCCGAGACCCAGCTGGCTGGCCTGGAAGATCAGGTTGGTCAGCTGGCCACCGGGGATCTCGTGCTCGTAGACCTCGGGGTCGGGGCCGGTCAGACCAGCCTCGAAGGGAGAGTAGAGCAGACGAAGCTGAGCCCAGTAGCTGTCAAGGGCGCGGACATGGCCCAGGTCCAGCTTGGGGTCGTGTTCAGTGCCCTGCAGCGAAGAAAGGAGAGCACCAATGCTGGGCTGCGAGGTCATACCAGACAGACTGTCGGTAGCGGCATCCACAGCATCAGCACCGGCCTCGGCGCAGGCAATCATGGAGGCGACACCGGTTCCGGCAGAGTCGTGAGTGTGAACGTGAATAGGGAGATCGGGGTAGCGCTCGCGGATGGAACCGATCAGCAGACGGGCAGCCTGGGGCTTGAGCACACCAGCCATATCCTTGATTCCAAGAACGTGGGGATTCATCTTGACGATCTTATCCACCAGACCCAAGTAGTACTCCAAGCTGTACTTCTTCTTGGGGTTCAGCATGTCACCACTGTAGCACATGGTGGCCTCAACGACACCACCGGCTTCGTGAACGGCCTTGATACCGACCTCGAGCTGGTCAAGATCGTTCAGGGCATCGAAGACACGGAAGATATCGACACCGTACTTCTTGGCCTGCTTACAGAAGTGGTAGATGGCGTTATCGGGAAGGGAAGAGTAGGCAACACCGTTGGCGCCACGGAGCAGCATCTGGAAGGGAATGTTGGGGACGGCCTTGCGCATCTTGCGAAGTCTGTCCCAAGGATCCTCATAGAGGAAGCGCATAGCCACATCGAAGGTGGCTCCACCCCAGCACTCGAGCGAGTAAGCATTGCTCAATGCGTGGCTGGTCTCAGCAGCGATGTTTAGCATATCAATTGTTCGCACACGGGTGGCGAGCAACGACTGGTGGGCATCACGCCAGGTGGTGTCCATAATCAAGCAGCCCTTGTTAGCGCGCACAGCGCGAGCGAAGCCCTCAGGGCCTTGGCTGTCCAGGATCTGCTTCCAGCCCTTAGTGCAGGGCGCGGAGATGTCAATGGGCTTGCCCACAGAATCCTTAAGAATGGGCCTGATGATCTCGCCCTTGAACTTGGGCTCGCCGATCTGGCCCTTAATGCTGCTGCCGTTGACAGCAACGTCACCCAGGTAAGCGAGCAGCTTCTGGGCACGGTTCTGGCTGCCGACGAGGGTGAACAGCTCGGGGGTGTCATCAATGAATGTAGTCCAGCAAGTACCATCGATGAATGTGGGGTGGCTCAGGAGTGAAGCGAGGAAAGGAATGTTGGTCTTGACACCGCGGATACGGAACTCAACCAGAGCACGCAGCATCTTGCGGCGGACAATCTCGTAGGTTGAGCCACGGCAAGTGCACTTGACCAGCATAGAGTCGTAGTGAGGAGTAATAATGGCACCAGCAAAGCCGTTACCACCGTCCAGACGGACTCCATTGCCACCAGCAGAGCGGTAGACCTCGATCTTACCGGTATCGGGGGAGAAGCCCTTGGAGGGGTCCTCAGTAGTGATACGGCACTGAATGGCGAAACCGCGAGTAGAGATGCGGTCCTGAGTAAGGCCAAGTTGTTCAAGGGTTGCACCAGCAGCAATCTGGATCTGAGCAGCCACAATATCGATACCGGTGATTTCCTCGGTAATGGTGTGCTCGACTTGAATTCTGGGGTTGATCTCGATGAAGTAGTGCTCGTTGCCACAGACAAGGAACTCAGCGGTACCAGCGTTGCGGTACCGAACTGACTTGGCCAGTTTCACGGCATCAGACAGGATCTTATCACGGACATCGGTCGGAAGGTCCTTGGCGGGAGCAATCTCAACGACCTTCTGGTGGCGACGCTGGACGGAGCAATCACGTTCGAAGAGGTGGACAACATTGCCCTGGTTATCACCGAGAAGCTGGACCTCAATGTGCTTAGGCTGGTCAAGGAAACGCTCAACGAAGACGGTACCGTTACCGAAGGCAGTGCGGGCCTCGGAGGTAGCACGCTCGAAAGAGTCACGCAGCTCGGCCTGGTTACGGACAACACGCATACCGCGGCCACCACCACCAAAGGCGGCCTTAATAATGATAGGGAAGCCAAATTCGTCAGTGAAGGTCTTGACCTCTTCAAAGCGCTCGACGGGGCCGGGAGTTCCAGGGACAACGGGAACATTGCACTTGATAGCGGCGCGGCGGGCGGAAACCTTGTCACCAAGGGCATCGATAGTTTCAGCGGTAGGGCCGACGAACACAATGCCAGCCTTCTCGACCTTCCGGGCGAAGTCGGCGTTCTCCGAAAGGAAACCGTAACCGGGGTGGATCAGGTGGACACCGTGCTCCAGGGCGATCTTGATGATCTCATCACCGGCCAGATAGGCACCCACGGGGGTATATTGGCCACGGTTGCCGATCATGTAGGCCTCATCAGCCTTTTGGCGATGCATTGAGAGACGATCTTCGTGTGAGAAGACTGCGACCGTCTGGAGGGACAGTTCGTGTGCGGTACGGAAGATACGGATGGGGATTTCACCACGGTTGGCGACCAAAATCTTTTGGAAGTGCATAATAGTCGAGTTGGCCCGCAGACGACGGTGGACTGAGTCCTGGTGGTGCTCATTGTGATCCTCGATGAAGTCGGACTCATCAATGGCATCCTCCGGTTGACGGTGCGGGGCAGCCATTGTGAATGTAGGTATGTGATAAGATGGAAGATAGGTTACAAGGGGTTGTTTACTAAGAGAGGATTGGATTAGATGAAGTTCCCTCTAGCCTTGGAGAGCTTCCAAGGTCCGGTGTGGAAAGCAGAGGCGGTGACTCACTATAAGAAGCTGGGGAGCTATCCAGTTCCAATTTCAGGCCGGTTTCGGCAGGTCTCACTGCTCAATCGCTCACACTGTTTCTCAATATAAGCAACAGGAGCAGTATAATAGAAATTGAATAGAATTGGGGTTGAAGTTAAGTGAAATAGAAAGACAAAAAAAAGTGTAGGTTGGGAGGGGGGGGAGGTGGGTTAGATAAAGAGGGGAATTCAGAAGGGCGATCTACATAGTCACAGATACTTTCCGGGGCGAGAGGATTGACTCCAGGAATGAGGTAACAAGTACATACAGGTTCACCGGTACACCGGGGCCAACACCTAGAAATTGGGAAATGATCAAATCGAATAGAATAATAGGATAATGGAATAATAGAATAATGGAATTATTGAAATTATTCCAATTCAAGAAAATAATATAATTTGCTAAAAGCAGAACTCCATGCGGGGCTTATTTGTACTCTTTTGTACTGCCATCATACCTAGGCTTACTATATGCTAACCCTACCATCGAGCTCTACTAAGTTCCTATTATTCCCACCCCAGACGAGAACTGCACGATAACCATGATCACGATAACTTCGGGTGGTTTAGGTAAGTGATTCCGTTAATCTACCTCGGGCCCT